CTGCTGGAGGTTCTAGGAGAGCATGCATTTGTTTACGCTTTCTAATTTCCACCCTCATTCCCTGGCTTGTGGCCCCATCCTCCATCTTCAAATCCAGCAGTATAGCATCTTTCAGTTTCTCTCCTGTGTCATCACCTCTCCTAACTCAGACCTTGCTGCCTCCCTCTTATGAGGATCCTTTTGATTATAGTAGCCCACCTAGTTAATCTGGGTTAATCCCTCCATCCCAGGATCTGGAATTTAATCATTCCTGAAAAGTTCCTTTTGCCACATAAGGTAACGTTCACAGGTTCCAGGGAATTAGGATGTGAACATCTTTGGGGGTGGGGGGAGAGTGGGGGGTTAGTCTACTATTAGCCTACCAAAGGGAGATTTACCATTTGTCTGTGATAAGAAATGAAAATGATTTTCTTTGTTGTCTTTTGTCTTCTAACAGTGTCTGTGTTTTTGTGGTTGATTGTTTTGCTTTTGTTTTAGCCATTTGGATTTATCCTGGTAAATGGTGTAAAATGCAGATCAGTCTGTATTTTTTTTCCAGATAGCTAGTTGTACCAGCATGATTTACTGAAAAGTCTAACTCTTCCCTAAAATATAAGAAAATTCCTGTATCTAAATTTGGTTGATTTCTGGACTTTCTGTTTTGTTCCATTGTCTGTCTGAAAAGTATGCATTTAAAAAAAATTTATTTTTAATTTTTTATAGCATGTTATAATATCTGGTAGGGCTAGACATCATTCACTGTCCCTATTCGCACTGCCTCCTCACAACTGTTTTTGTTTTCATGGTTTTTTTGTCTATTCTTGTTTGTTTTTTTCCTTTGCGAACTTTATAATCAGCTTGTGTGGTTTGGGGGGGTGGCAGTTAGTTTTATTGGAGTAACTTTATGAGGTTGGCTCTTACTGTGTTTAAACAAAAAATGTCTTTACATTAATTCAAGTTACTTTTGTACTTTCAGTAGTATTTTAACATTTTCTTCATATCAATTTTGTACATTTCTAAGTTTATCGCCAGCTTTTTAATCTTTCTTTTCATAGCTATAATGGAAGAAAAGACCCTGTTCATACTATTTTCTGTTTAGTTTTTATGCATGAAAGCTATGGTTAATACATTTATTACATTAATTATAAATTATATTAATTTTATATGCTACTACCTTACTGATTTATCATCTTGTTTGTAGTAGTATTTTAGTTGAATCTCTTGTTTTTTCTCAATATACGATTATATTGGCTTCAAATAGTGATCGTCAAACTCTTTCTAATTTTTATGTATCTGTCCTTTTCTTGCCTCTTCTGTTACATCGTTAAGTAGAGGTGGCGTCGTATGCATTTCTGTCTTATTCCTGATTTTAGGAAGAAGATCTTATGTGATTCTCAAAAGTGTTTGCTGGCTTTTTGGCATGTATGTGCACATATGTGTGCACATGCACATGCATACACACACCTGTCATATTAAAGAAAGGTACATCTGTTCCTATTATATTCAATGTTTTTCTTTCCCATCAAGAATAGTTGAATTTTGTCAAATGCCACTTTAGTATATGTGGAGAAGTGATATGGTTTTTATTTTAGACTTATTAATACATTAACTTTTCACATTTTAAAATACATTCTCAAATTTCTAAAATTAAATGTTTTTATTTATGCCTAATATTTTGTAAGGCAGGTCTTAATTTTATGCACTGTTTCTCCCCTATGTAGCATTTTTGATTATTACATAATACTATGTTGCATATTTGTAACTGTTGTCATAAGTAGAACTCTGTTTTTGTTTAAAGGTTTAATAAAATTAAGCTGAGAATTTTATCTGACCAATGGGCTGAAGATTCCCTTCAGCCTGGTGAAAGAGGTGGGGCTAAATCTAAATCTGAGCTGAACTTTTAATGGTCCCTTTTTAAGTTTTCTTTTTTTTTTTATTTTGTCCTCAAATAATGATGGAAGAAGAATTATATAGGCGACAGAAAGTAAAGTATTTGGGTTAATTAATCTTTCTTGATGGGTTCTAGTTAGTTTGAGGTTTCAAAGAAACACTGTAAAATGAACATTTATATATTTGCTTCATCATTCTTGTCCTCAGAAAGCTCACTGCCTAGAGCAGAGCTATACAATAGGGTAGCCACTAGTTCCTGTACCTACTGAGCACTTGAAATGTGGCTAGTGATGTGCTGTCAGTGTAAAATACACATTGATTTTGAAAACTTCATATAGAAAATGTAATATATCTCATTAATAATTTTATATTGATTGTATATTGAAATAATATTTTGTATATATTGGGATAGACAAAATATAGCATTAAGATTAATTTCACCTTTTTTCACTTTTTAAATGTAGCTAATAGCAAATTTTAAATTGCATATGTGGCTTACATTGAATTTTTATTGGACATCACTGATCGAGAGACAGTAGGTATGGGTATACTTACAATGATTTTCATAATTTAAAAGAATGAAATTAAATAAACTACAGTTATATCCTCCCTTATCTCCTTGTTTCGTCTTATGAAAATAAAGTTTGATGGATAATGTAATCTAATTGTACTCCATTGTAATAGGTTGTCTCCTCTCTGATTTTTCTATTTAACTATTTATAAGAGAATGCAGTTCCTTTATTATGCCCTTAACATTTTCATATAAGTTGAAGGCAATAGGATTCTTGCCTTTTAGCATATTAGCACTTCAGAACTGTTGTGAATACAGAAGGGAGTTAGTTTAGAAGTCCAAGTTTCTGATTTTGCTTTATTCTATAAATATATTTTAATAGAAGTTCTCTAGCTGAATATAAAATTTGCTTCAGCATTTCCCCCCCATGTTTTCTTCATTCCCTAAAAAAGCAGTTTCCCATCCTTAGTTCTCTTTGGGTACAGTTGAGGTTCAGCCTCATCTTTTAGTTCTGTCTTATCGCAATAGCCTGAATGTTTTGAATAATTTATATCTTAACTCTTATTCTTCAAAAGCCAAACAATTAAATTATTCTCAATGCTTTTTTTATCTTGGCTTTTGTTGCATATTTTAGGAAAATTATATCACAAATGACATTGGAATATCGGCTTGGAAAGAGCGGGCTTTTCTCTCTCACGGTGCCTTATTAGCAAAGAGCTGCCAAGCTGCAATGGAATTAGCAAACCATGATGCTGAAGTTCAGGATATGGCGTTTCGGTATGGGAAGCACATGGCCATGAGTCATAAGGTATTTTCACGCCCTTTCTCTTTTGCAGTACTTAAATAGCTAAAATGTTATATAAGAAATCTTTCGCCAGTTAATAAGCTGCTTTTATATCTCAAAAAATGTTTATTGTGTGCTTAAAATCCATCAGTCATAGATGATGATTGTTATATAAGCTATATGATTGATGAGTACTGTGTAATTTTGATGGAAAGCTACAGCTTACTTTAATCATATTTGTGATGTTTATCTTTTCTTACTACTTGAAAGGGTTCTTGAAAGAACTCCTGCAGTTTTTAAATAACTTGTAATGTTACCATTCACAGAGGGAAGAATATTTGCATTTTTGTTACAGTTTCCTTATAGTTCCTTATGTAAAACAAATTGTGGAAAGGTAATGAAATTTAGAAATATACTGAGTAAATTTGAAAGCTTTAATTCTAAAAACCGATTCTTTTAAATGAGCATAATGAAATATAAAATGTTCCGAGATAAGCTGTTATCTTGGTGCCTCTGTGTATATGTAATTTTAAAACTACATTTAGTATGTATTTCTCAGGTGTTACTTAAATAGGTCATAAGAGGGGGGAAATATATACTTATATATGTAATATCTCCAGATGATTTTTAAACACGTTTTATTAAATCTTAGATTAGTTTACTAAGCAATTATATTAATTAAATCTTTTTCTAAATTCTTAACTTGAACTTAAAATAAAATATAGGCTGCTGCCAAATAAGAAAAAGGAATATGTACAGGAAAAAAAATATTTTAAAATTTTTTAAAGATTATCGTTAATCGTATGAACTATTCTTTGGCTTATTAAAGTACATCTAAAAACTGCATTCCTTGAGCTGCTTTTTTTCATTATATTACTCAATGCTTTCTGTGTGTGACTAAAACATACTGATGTATATGCATTTCACTGATTTAACTCTTTTGACTACTTCTAGATAAATTCTGATCTCCAGCCTTTTATTAAAGAAAAGACCAGTGACTCCACGACTTTTAATCTAAACTCAGCTCCAGTAGTCTTACATCAGGAGTTTCTTGGAAGAGATTTGTGGATTAAGCAGATCGGAGAGGTAAAATGAAATTACTCCTATTTTAGATACCAGTAGTATTAGTTGTTTTGAGGAAAAAATTCATATTTTATGTTGACCCAAGACATCGGCCATATAGAGCAGCCATGTAAGAGCTTATTCATATAACAGGTAAAATTCTTACTTTATAATCTATATTTTTAAGAGGTAAAATGTTAGCTAAAAGTTAGAAACTGCAATACTGTTTTCTTATTATCTGAGTTCGTAGAATACTGCATCACAAAACTAGTGCCTGTGGTGAATGCTAATTAACTCAGATGATTTTTTTTTTCCTAAAGGCTTTCAAAAATTGGGCTATGGTAATAGCACCACCCTTTAACTGACGGCAATTTCCCATCTGTAGACTCTAGCACAAGCTGCAGAATTCCAGGAGCTCCGTCTGTTAGCTCATTGGGTTATTTTAAAACAAACTTGGACTCAGAATCCTCAAGTTCTGAAGCATTATCAAAGGAAAAAAAACCATAGTTAAGTGGGAGGGGTAAAGGGGCTTAAATTGGGTTCATTTCCCAGTTTCCTGTGGGGAGAGAAGTTGTAGAAGACAAGAGGGAATTTTTTTGGTTTCTTTTAATCCAGAAATTCTGGTACAAAAATTCTTGCCCTTTTACACAAAGCTTCATGGAATTTGTTTAACTTCATGCTTCTAATAGATTGGGTTAATCTGAGACTCGACATGGGGAAACAGGCACAGCTGAGGGTGGGGGTAGAGCCACCACACTTAGAGCAGAGAGAACCTAGGTGATGTCTACGTTCAGAAGATAAGATTTCCCTCTCCGACCCCTCCTCTCAAAATGTTGGCGGCCAGCTTAAAATCTCTCGTATTCACAGGTAGAAAACGAAAAGATTCTTTTCTGGGGAGACTGTCAGCCCCAGGTGAGACGACCTGCAGATGTGGCTGTTTTGAGGCTCTCCTAGTAAACATGCCATGTCTTTGACCAGCCCTCCTAAAATGAGGTCTACCAGTTGACAAGCCTCAGAGTGTCTAAGTGTACAGAATATCCAACTGAAGTAGATTAGGTCATAGAGGATTACTGGCCATTTGAGAAAAGCCTATGCCATAAAAGAAGGAGTCAAAAGCAAACTGATAAGTGGGAACTTAGAGGAAATAGTGATAGTGCAAGAAAAGATATTTTCAGAAGCACTCTAATCAGTATATTCAGTGAATTAAGATATTAAATTCATGAAATAAGAACAGGTGGTATATAAAAAGGGACAATCTAAGAATAAGATATCAGCTGTATAAAATATAAAAGTATGAAAGAGGATTTTTTAAATGAAAAGAATGGAAAATATAAATGAGAAAATCTCCCAGAAATTTGAATGAAAAGACAATAGAAAATAGAAGAGAAAGAATAAGAAAATTAGAGGACCAATGCAAAAGATCCTATATTTATTATGAATCCCAGAAAGAGAAAACTGAAAATGGAGGTGAGAAAATTAACAATGAATTTTTTAAAAGAAAAACTCTAATTGAAGGACCTCAGTCTCCAAATTGAAATGATACTCTAAACAATGAATTTAAAAAGACCTACATCAAATCACTCACATCATTATGAATTTTGAAACAGTGAGGATAAAGAAAAGATCCTAATATTTTCAGAAAGAAAAAGAAAACCCTACTTGCAAAGGATCAAAAATCAGAATGGCCTTAGTAGTGACACTGAAAGCTTCCAGACAATAGAGTTTACTTCAACATTCAAAATTGTTTCCAACGTAGAATTTTATGCCAGTCATATTATCAAGCGCGATGTTAAATAAAGGCAATTTAAAAGAGAGAAATATGTTCTCAAAAAACTTACCTTCCAAGCATCTTCTTTCAGGGAGCATTTGATGTATTCTGTCAAGGCAGGAGAATAACTAAGAAAGAGAAAGGGATAGAATTTAGGAACTAGGAATTCCTAAGAAAATATGAAAGGAAGAATAACAAATAACAATAAGAGCACTTACAATGTTCCAAGCAACTAAAAAGAGGGACAGGACAGACAGGGTAGGTTGTTTTGTTAGAAGTCTTATATTGTTTGACTTTTTAAATACTATACATATATTTGGTTTTATTTTAAAACATTTAGTTTAAAAATTTATATACTTTTTTATAGAAATTACTTTTTTATAGTAATTTCACTTCTAATGATCTATCCCAAGAAAAATATCAGAAATGTAGGTAAAGATTTCCATATTAAAATATGTAGTAAAATATTAATTCTAAAAGGAAGAAAATGAAAATTGGTCAATTTAAACATAGAAAAAGATTAAATGAAATACATTACAATGAAATATCACACAACTACTGAATATTGTATTACTAGGGAGTATTTGTGTGTTTTTCGACAGCTGAACTGAAAATATATATACAGATGGTGTTAGTAGCTCTAATTGGGTTACATTAGAATACATTGCAGATTTACATTTTGGTCGAAAAGATCCAACTAAATATGTTCAATGAAAGCTACCAACTCTCCCTTGGCTATTCACATATATACGTATACATATAAGAGTAGCATAGATAAGAATTTTAAAGAAGCTTCACCAAAAATGGGCATATTTAACTCTTAGTTTCTTTGCAAGCATACAATGTTCTAAATGTAGACAACATGAGAGTCCAGGATTTCCTAAACAGCTGGTGAAATAGTCCCAAATCATTATCCCCAGCTTGATTTACATTCAAAGGGATATCCAAATAGCCTCTGCTTGGCCACTGACTTGAGGCCCTTCTCATCTACATGTCTAAGCCATGAACAGGGTCACTGATGAAGGGAAGATGAATTTCTCTGAAGCAAATAAGAAACGTTAGATTCCACCATGCAGGGGGAAGCATTCTTCAGGTTAAAGACTCCTAACTTGAGTTTTTTTTAATCTTCTATATTGTAATATTCATGTTTACGTAAGGCTCTGTAAGATAATGATCTTGCTCTGTGAATGAGTTAGGGGACACAATTTGCATAACACTCGAGAGGGACAGTCTATCCTAAACCTCAAAGAGGTCGCTTATTAATCTTGAAAGTAGTTCTTTCTAGTGCTTTTTCCAATTTTTTGTGATGTTTACCTCCTCTGCATTTTTGCAGTTCTTTCCTCCCCCATTGTAAGATCCTTAAGGATAATAGTGAGTCCACCTTTGAACTACCCATAATACCTGGCATAGTGACTTACTTGGAGTAGTAACCCTATTAATATTTGTCAAAAAGTATGTATGGTGTCATCTACGCAGGGTGAGCTATTTGGCAGCAGCCCTGTTTTGTTAAATAGAAAGAGTCGAGTTGGTATAGTAGAAATGGCCCATAGAGAACCAAGATTTGGAAAACCTGGATTCTAGTTTGGGCTCTGCTAGCATCTGTATAACATTAATCACGTTCTTTCACATCCTCTTTATTATTTCCTGTAAAGTGATGCCATTTCAACTAGATCATTTCTAAGGTCCCTTTCAGCTCTCAGATAAATCTAAGAAATAGGTCTCTTAGGCAAAAGATGCATCACAAGAAAAATATATATCTCTATTAGAAGCTTAATACTAGTTTTGACATTGAGAAATAGAAAAGTCTTGCTCCCAATGATAGAAGTCACCTATGATTTCTTATTATCACATGTGAAATTACTTCTCTGCTCTGCCCAGAAAGGTTTGTGTCCCATCTACCCTTTTGATTTCCTATTTGGGGAAAGTGAGAATTAATGACTAGACAAGGAAGGGAGGAGGAGCTGACACACCCTTAGTGCCCGTTCAACATCCTTGTGAAGCCAGGAAGAAGAGCACTTCTGGAATTTTTCATATCAGGCCCTTCTACCGCCTCCGCAACTCCCCTTTTCCCCCTAAAATCTTGAGATTAGATCGCCCTCTTCCATCACACCCGTAAGCACACATGTGCGCGTGCACGCGCGCACACACACACACACACACACACACACACACACACACACACACACACACACACACAAACACAGCACATACCCTTTCACCAGCGGCAGTTTAGAGCAGCAAGCCAGACCTGTAACAGCTGAAAAATATTTGTTGAGCAATGTCTCCATACTAAATTCTACAGATTTCTCCCTATCTTAATTTTAAATTTAAATTTGTAACTGGTGAAACATAATAATCAGGTAAGAACATGGATAGTGAATGGGTAATTCGCCCTAGAGAAGTGAAGTCGTTACTCAGTTATCATTTTGATTCCTAATAAAAGGAAGTAGAATCTTTCAGAGAACCACAGAGCTCTGACTCTCTCAGGGAGTCCAGGGACTACTGCAGGTCTTTATTTTTAATGATCCTAAGTCACCTGAAGAAATAAGAATTATGATTATATTTTCTTGGTTATTTCTGAAAGTACTGAAATGTCACTTAGACTTGTGACATTCTGACACTGTCATAACGAGCCATAAAATACCTTAAGTGCACTGCACATTACCAATGCTAAGCTATAATTCACCTGTTCCTAGATACCCTGCTATTCTTATTCAAAAAGTGAAACAAAGATTGTTAGGCAACCCTGGTGTGCATGAACATAACACTTGTATGTTTGTAAACAGAAGAGGAAATGCACATTCAGAGAGTCCTCATAAATGCCACATTATATTCTAATTACTTAAGGTATTTTGAGTTGTTTCAAAAGGAAGAATATTGACAACATCCTCTACCACAGTGTGGGCATTTGAAAGGACTATGTGTGAAACCACAAAGACTGTGAAGTGGTTCTAGATATCACCTAAATTAAAATTGTTCTTAAGCTTAGTTTTCTCTTTCACTTAAGGAAACAAAGTACTTCACTACAGGAGATATGGCAAATTGCCTACAGGTTGTCTGCGGCCTCATAAAGAGGGGATAAGAGAAATGCACTAATATAAGGAATACTGTAATTGAGGCCACTTGGGGAGCTCAGAGGAAAGAGTTCATACCCAGTTGGGAAAGTGAAGGGCTTGCGAAGTAGGTACTGAGATAGTCCTTGAAGAAGAAGATCTTGACAATGAAGATGGAAATGAAGGGCTTCTTAAGCAATGGA